AAAACCCCAAAACCCCAAAACCCCAAAACCCCAAAACCCCAAAACCCCTTTAAACATTTGCTTAACTGAAATAATAAAATTTAACTAGATTAAATTTAATGTTTGACAATCAGCAGAGAAGCCTAGAGGCTTCAGGCTTGTCTGACAAGCCTCATAGCCAAAGCCTTGCTTGTGAACCAAGCAATGCTTTTGTGAGTGATTATATTAAGAGCACGCTTAAAGCCAATAATGACCAACAACTAGATTTTAGCAATAAAGGTAATTACAACTGAGGTTTTTGATCACAAAATGTTCATTTGGCAGTTAATCATGCAAACTAGTGGTGTATTACCTAAGGGTATAATATTGCAGTAATCTTAAATCAGAGAATCTTTAGCATAACTTTTGAGACTCATTCTCGGGTTTTAAGGGTAATATTATGAAATAAAATACCAAATCGTTGAAATTTTTGAGATATTTGGCTCAGAATTCTTCGTTAAGAGAAAATCAGGGCTTAACTTTTATGGAACTAAGTCTAAGATATTAGTACTATTAATATCATAATTAAGTAACTATAGACATTTTATAACTACCTTTGTGGGTTTAAAATTTGAACTTATTTTAACGTTTTTCAAGAGAAATACCCTCTGATTTATGACTTAGTTAAACAATCAATATTATACTTGCAGTTGAGAATATAACACACTCTCTTTATATCAATCTAATAATCAGCTGAAGCAAACATCAGAAACAATAAATGTTTACATTAGTAAAATTTTCATAAATTAGAGATTAACAAATTCTTAAAATTATTCTGATGTATACTATGGTAAATGATATCTTTATATGAAAATATAGTCTCTCTAAAATCATCTATCATGCTCAGAAACATCAACTCCCAAGCTAAACACCAAGACATTGACTACCTCAAAGCCAAACAAAACCAACTTCTTCAGCTCAAACAAGATGTTGACCAGAGTCTCAAGATCCTTCTAAAAGAAGAACAAGACATTCAGAAACGGCTCGAGAAAACAGCCAGTGAAGTCTCAAACACTCGTCGAGCAGCTTCTCCAGCTGCATGCATCAAAGTAAGTTTGTCAGAACAGATTTGTGAATCGTTCAAATAAGTATCATTCTCGATGTTTGATGAGCCAATTGCTAACTTGCAACCATAGCCCTGTCCATCGCGCAAATAATGTTCAGCCAAGAGTGTTCCTGCACTTGCCAGAACAATCTAGGCCTCGTCAGTTGTCGAAATCTCCAAAGCCACAGCTCCAGACTCTAGCGTCTCTGAACCCAAGCGAGAGACAGTCCAAATACTTGTTGAGTTCGTGCAAAGCCAGTCCTTGTTTCACAGCCAAGTTCAAGAAGACGCTGGTTCGAGGTACAGGAGCCAGGTCTACTCTGTCAGTCAGTTCGACGAGAGGGTTGTGTCGCAAAGAGTACACCAAGCTTCAAATCATCAAGAGAGCCAGAGGGCTCACTGAACTCGGACTTGGGTAAGTGCAACAGTCAACACACTTTGTTGTAACTTGAGTATTCTCACTTTGTTTATGGTTGCAATTCGGTCTAACAAATAGAAATTTAGGGTTTGTGGATGATCTCAGCAGAGGCGTTGAGCCTCGGTTTGCACTCAAAGCCATGAAGGCTCTGGTCGACTTACTCAAGATTTCGTGAACGCCTCATGACAAACTCAGTCAGCAATTACATGCTCTATGCGACTGGAACCAAATCACTTCGTTCATCGACAACAACAAACAGTCTGTGTTCGCACTCATCGGAGACGTTGCTGACTTGGTTGATAAGCCAAACTTCGAAAAACAAGAACTCTGGAAGTCTAGAACAAGGTACTTTGGCGAAGTCCCAACTGAGTCAGTGCTGTTCAAGTACTGCATATCATCCAAATGAATGAAGGGTGTGTTGACATTCTTGTTCAGCGTGTACAACCATTTCAAAGACTTGAGAAGACTCCACAAGAAGTTCCACCACTCTCCTGACTCACAGACTGACAGAAGCAGCATCAACTCACGGAACTCTGCAAAGAGAGCCAACCTCATCAACAAGAACATCACTAGACGAGTTCAGAATTCGATGAGAAGGTAATGCGTTGTTGACCGTGTAGCCCTAGCCAGAGGCTTGGCCCCAAGAACTCGGATGACCGTGCAAACCACAAGACTCGCAGCAAGGCTCACAACTTCACTCCAAGCAAAGCTTTCGAAACTAGGTCGTCAAATACCAAGTTCAACAGCAAGTCTTCGAACAAGCTACTGAACAAGAAGTTGAAGCAGCCTGCAGAAAATTCTTCGAAATCGCCAGTAAGGCCTTGCCAGAACTTCAACTTTACTCCCAAGAACAGTAAGCTGTTGAGTTATTTGGTAGGACCCAGAATCAAGCCCACAATGACAAAGCACGAGCCAAGACTCGCTAACTGGTCTCACTGCAAGAATGAGTACAAGAACAAGTCGAAGTATAATGTCCACAAGCCAATTTCAAAGAACACCAAACTCAGAGAGCACCTGAGGTCAGCGAAGAAGAAAGCCAAACTTCACAGAGAAGCTCAGCAGCAAGTCAACAAATTTCGCCAGCTTGGGAACAGCCAGAATGGCCAAGATAGAGCTTCAATCACTCACAAGTCTCATTTCATTCGCAAAGCCAAGTTATGAGAATCCACTGATCAAGATAACACCGAGTCACGCAACACTCATCATGGTTTCAAAACAGACTCAGCTGTTTGCCCAACTTACTCTGAACTAGCCACAGAGGCTTTACTCAAAGGGAGACGAAAGAATGAAGATGATCTTGCAAGGATTGAACAAGATGGGCCTCATAGACGCTCTCCCACTCCCGAATTGACTGATGAGTAAGTATTTACAACAAAGCCAGCATTGTCCTAAGTTTGCACTCAGCATAGAATAACAATAACTCTGATTTAGCGATCAACATTTTCAGAGATTAATGTCGAATCAAGAACTGTCAGCTGGCCAAACATGCAGCAATAGCAATCAGCCGCAAGAGTCCAAAGTAGCCAATGGAGTCGACTTCGTCAACCAAACACAAATCTTCGATGACAGTGAAAACTGGAATCAAGACGAAAGCAATGTTATCGAAGATGATATTGGATCCAGAAGCACATTCCTAAACTTAGAAATGGGCAGAAACAAGTTCTTTGACCGTTCTGATGCTGGTAGAAGCTATGATGTTGGCAAAGGATATTTTCTATCATTCGATGGCAAAGATGTTCAAGCAGAAACCGGAAAGTCTCAACGTGGTGATCAGTTAGTACAAAGAAGGCCGTCCGGACTTGTGACAAAGTACTTAGCGTCAGCTAAAGACTACAAAGCTGCTCAAACCAATAATGGTAGAGACATCGAAACTGTTAACTACTTAAGCATTTCTTCGAAGAATACTTCTGCACATGGTGACAATGATACCGATCAGCACTGGCTAGCTACTGTTGAGACTTCAGCCATGCCTGACACTGGCTCAAGAAACGATGATATTGTTACATCAAGAAAGAACACCAAGAATGATGTGGCAGGGAAGCTGACTCAGTACGAAGATTACAGTAGCATTTTATCGTGATCTACCAAGAAGCCAGATGCTTCGCTTGTGTAAGTTGTTGATTGACATTATTAGAGTTGGATACACTAAAGTAAATACCAAATTAGCAAAGTTCACCAAGCAATCAAGCTCTTCACATAAGCACGCCAAGAGTATCCGCCAGCGATACATGTCTAAGACTCTGCCAGCTCAACAAAAAGCAACTTAATCATTCACAATTTTATTCAATTCCACAGTCAGGTCAAGGGGTTTTGGGGTTTTGGGGTTTTGGGGTTTTGGGGTTTTGGGG